AACATGGATTGTTTTCTTATAAAAAATTGGAAAAATTGACTAGAATAATTCCACTTTTCACTGGTCTTCTCATAATAATCACACCTTTACGTAATCCAATAATAATCCCACTTTTGCACCTCATCTTTTTTCATTGGATCCTGATCTATTGATGACCTACAAAGGTGAGATTATTTATATAAAATTTTTTAAAAAAAGGTCCAATGAAAGAAGATGTGGTGCAAAGGTGGGATTATTCCAGAATTATGTAAAGGTGGGTTATTATGAAAAAATCAGTGAAAGGTGATATTATTCTTATCAATTTTTCTAAAAAAATATTAGCCATAAAAATATACATAAATATATATATATTGTTATTTATAATATATTTCGAAATATATTTATATATTTTTTTGTTATGTATTTATATATTATATATAATATATTTAAATATTTATTTAGATATTATTACATAAATATTGTTGAATGCCTATTTGGTAATTCGGTTTGACAGATTACCAAACCGTTTTTTTTTTATCGAACCAAACCTATTTAGTTAGGTTCAGTATTCGGTATGTGAATATGCAAAACCAAAATTTTGATTTACCAAAATTTCGGTTCGGTTCGCTATTACCGAATAAATACCACTGGTTGGCCCAAATCTTCGCCCTTGGCCTCGTCTGTCAAGTTATTAAAATTTAAAATAAAATTTGGTTTAAATATTTTTTTTGGGAAGTTTAAATATGTTTTTGTTCCTTGCAAATATAGTATGTAGTATGTACTATGTAGTGCATTTTATTTTGTGTCCATACAAAATTATTTGGTGTTCTTCATTTCTATAATTTATGTTGATTTTCTTTTTGTTCATAACTCATGATTCAACCTTTATTTGACAATAAAACAATCACAACTATTATGTTCCTCTAATATTTTGTCATGTTATTCAAATACGGAGCAATATTTAATTTTATTTTTTAAAAGGTTTTTATTATCTACTTTACAAATGTAAATTATTCGTTTTAGATTGATTTAATTCTCATATTAACCTCAAACAAATTATACAATAATAAATTTAAAAGCTTCTGGTAGATTTATTCAATCAACGACTCCTTTTTCCTCCAACAACAACATCAACCACATTACCCCGATGCTGCAAGGCTCTCCCGCCTATGGTGGTTAAGAGGGATCGGATGTACGCAACCTTACCGCTGCACCAAGGAATAGATAGATTGTTTCCAGATGATCCATGATGGAAATTTCACAGACTGACGTCGTTTCACAACAAAGAAGCACAAACAGTTTAGTGAGTCATTTTGCTTTATTCCATAATATGCTCAAGCCAAAAAATTGTAAATTTTTGGTTCCATTGAAAATGATGGAAAACATCTTTGAATTGTCACACACATCGTCATCATCATTACCCCCGTGTCACAAAGGATCCCACCTATGGTGGAGTAAATGGAGGTCGCATGTACGCCTTCTTACCCTCTGTACTAACGCCCAGAGAGATTGTTTCCGGATAACCCATAGTGAAAATCGCATCAAAAATTGCATAAATGTTTTAGCAAAATTTTGATAAGCTAAAACTAATTAAAATGAAAATTATATATTGATCGGGTTTCGTACAAGAACGGTAAGGAAAATGACAAGAACATTGATGTGTAATTCGAGTGAGGAGCCTCCTCTTACAATTGATCTCGAGACCACTTATAAGATTGGTAATTAATTCTTTTTTTGTCTGTGATTGATGGTTTCGACTGTTACGACGACATTCAAAGTTGTCATCATGTCATCATTAATGTCAGTTAGCCCTTCTAAGTAACTCCTGCTTTAATTACATTGATAGCTATATTAATATATACAAACCCGTTATAATAATTAGTTAGCATTAAACCTAATAAATGTGTCATTTATTGGCATGGTCAAGCCTCTTGAATGTAGAATAAATTGTCAAATTTCTGAACCAACAATTGCACCCTTTCGAGAAGTTGAGGCGTATCATTCATATGTCGACATGTTAAGAAACAACTTGTCGAAAATTTGAAAGAGTTTACACTTCGGATCTTGGTTCATTGCATCTACTGGCTCGTCAGTGACTTGACGTGACATATTGATCAACTTGTCTGACGAAATGCTTCCGTCTCAACCATTCTTTTGACAATAAATCTGAAGCGTATACAACTAAATACAAATTATCCAAGTGGTAAATGAAAGGGTAATAAAAAGAGAACATCAACATCCAGATTAATATAATGACAAAATACGAAAGAAAAAAAACATCGACATCACCTAGTCTAGTTTAATGCTACGTAATTAATATAACTAAATAGCACACCCTGGTTTGAAGAAACATCAACATCTAGTTCTGACTTCTCAAGGGCATAAAGTGTTGACCGACATTAATGACGACATTAAACTACATTATTTAGTCATTAGGCCATAATAAAGTGCCAAGAATTAAACCTAATAAACTACACTTTAGCTTATTAGGTTTAAAGTACAAATATATCATACAACACTTCAGTTATTAAACTACAAGGTCCTTAATTCTTTGTTTCATTGCATTAGGCCAAGAATTCATGAAATTCATAGAATACATCAACCATATTTGGCCGCGCCATAGGATCTTTCTTACAACACTTTGTTCCCAGATGAAATAGGAAGTTCTGCTGCCTGAGTATGCAGTAGTCATAAGGTAGTATATATCTCTTTCCTGCTATATAGGCATTCGCTACCCAATCAGCGTAACGTAATGAAGTCTTCATCTCCACACATTTTGCCATTAACAACTCCAAAAGCAAAAGCCCGAGTGTATATACATCTGTCGTGAAATATCACACTCTTTTGAACTCCATATCTTCAAACATATTATTACTTCCCAACACTACAATGCACATACACACACACATAATTCACTGTCCTCAAATACACACACATACACGGATAAAATTGATTACAACATACATACACAAAGACTAAGGATGGCAATGGGGGCGGGGACCCATGGGGAACCGCCCCATGGGGATAGGATGGGACGAGGCTTCGGGAATGGGCGGGGATGGGAATTACTACACCCGCCCCCTCCCCTCCCCGTACCCGTTGTAAATATATACTCAAACATACTTATATTAATAATGTATAAACATGTTTAAACATGTACAAACTTATATGTACTACTCCCTCTGTCCCTGTGTTATTGGGACAGAAGAAGTGGTGTTGTTTTTAAAAAATAAAATTATGTGGTTGATAATGAGTTGATAAAGTGAGAATAAAGTAAGAATGAATTAGAACCATACAAATGTTAACAAATATAATATGAGACAATAATAGGGGGACATCCAAAAATAGAAAAATGGGACAATTATAAGGGGACATAAAGAGTATATAACAAACACATACACATACTTATAGACATACATACATGTATGTGTAACAATCATGATTAATGAACTAATACTACGTAAGTATTATATTAGAATATTAAGTAATGACTAAAAATATTTATCATAAATGATATGAGTTTTAAAAGTGAGAAACTAAGTAAACAGAACACACACATATGTATAATATATATAATATATTATTAATTGTAGTATAATTGATGAAACATTTGGAGCGACATACATGATGGTGATATGTTTACTTATATTTTTAGTTTTAGAGAAAACTATCAAATAAGCCCTCAAACTTACATAAAAAGTGCAAATCACCCCTTATATAGGTGGCTCTGTCCGGCCGTCGCCATATGGGGTGGTTCCTGTTGGAATTTTTTGATATGATTTTTTGAGCATCGTATTCATTAAGTCTAGTTTACTCATATAAAATTTCAACTAAAAATTCATATCGGGAAGGCAGTCAAATGACTTTTTGAAGATAACGGCGCAGTTAAACAACGCAGTATATTTCAGAAAATCATTTGACTGCCTCCCCGGTTGAATTTTTAGTTGAAATTTGGTATGAGTAAACTAGACTTAATGAAGAAGATGGTCAAAAAAATTCCACCGGGAACCGCCCTAAATGGCGATGGCCAGACAGATCCTCCTATGTAAGGGGTGATTTTCACTTTTTTTGTAAATTCGAGGGCTTATTTGATTGTTTTCCCTTAGTTTCATTATTTTCATATAGAACTTATTCAAATTGAAGAATGATTAAAAATTGGCGGTATAATCTTTTATCGAACACGATATTATCTAGTTTAACTTTTATTGTGCTATATATATTTATTTATCTATAAAATGGACTAAAAAAAATACACAAATAGGATAATTAAAATATATATGGTGGCACCGTGGAAAACAACAAGGTGGGGCGGGTCTGAGAGTGATGGGAATAGGGCGGGGATGGGGGGAACTTTTTAGACATGGGGCGGATATGTAGGAGTGAACCTCCACCCCAAACCCGCCCCATTGTCATCCCTAATAGAGTCATAGAGAAAATTGATTATTCAATCCCATACAGCCATACATCATGTTTTTTGTAAATAAAAAGGTCTTGTACATTATGTTTGTGCACATTATTAGTCCACTAAACAAAATTAGTGCACCACATTGAGGATTTTTCACTATATGAACTATTTTAACAAGTAATTATGTGTCAGTGCCAACTTTTCGTTAAAGTTTGGCCATAAATGGTACATTTTGGTGGAAATGTCTTTAATGTTGACAAAGGTAATGCTTATAAGACATGATCTGCTACAAAAATTGCTTAGTGTGAATAGAGTAACATAGCTAATATTAGACACAAAGTTAGGGGAGTAAACCAGCATATATTCCACACATGTGTGCACACATATCATTTATTAAATCTGAAATATCTTACAACGAGCTTCCGGGGATCGGAATAATAATTGTATGCTCCTATGCAAATTCTATCCTCATTTGCAACAATTGCAGAATGACCAAACTCGAACAATTGTATGTTGTAATCCTGCATTGAGTGGCAGAGAGTAGTTCAAATGAATGCTAAACTTCGTTACACTAGACATATACATGCAGTGCGAGGGCAAAAGGAATCAATCCCACCTCATCAACACTAATGTTGGGCGCAGCAAAGGTGCAAAATGCTATTCTTCGTTGGTGAAAGAACTCTAGGGTTTCAACAACTTGCTTTGCCACTTTCATCCGAGCTTTCCAAGAGAAGGTACCTATGAATGAGAACATGAAAAAGTAAATTATAAAATCATGACATCAACCAAAATATACAACTACTCATGTGAGAGGGCCACGTACGAAGAGGAATGAGATCCCATAGAGTATGTTTTAGGTTCACATCATAAACAAGGGCAAATGTCTTGTCACATGAGAACCCGATCAACTTCACCATATTAGGATGTGACGAGACAAGCGGGTTGAGCATAAATTCAAGGAGCCACTGCAACGCCACAAATAGCAAACCACACAATCCATTTAGATTAACTTCAAATTGCATGATAAGAAATATGTTAACAGAGTAACAATTTATAAGCTCACTTACAGCAAAATAAGTTGGATTTGCCTCAATCCAGCGATCAAGCGGAAAGTAGAAATTCCATTTTTTTAACAATGACATCCTGAGGGCCTGACCATTCATCAATCTTTCCTCTGTATAGTCGGGCAAATAAGACGTCTTTTACATAGATTTTCTCTGAAAAACCACCAATGATATCAATCACCTTATCATAGCTAAAATGTTTCACACTTCCCAAGTCTATCCCCTCAATTGGATTCCTAAAACAAGAAGACACACAAAGAATAAGGTGCAAATAATAATCAACATACAAAAGAAATAGAGTACAATATTTGAGGAATTAAAATGAGAATCACCCCATTTTCTCAGTCTTGTCAAAGCTGCTCTGTAATGAGCGTGTCAGCATATCATGTACTAGGGGGCACTTGAACTTCTCCCTCCGGAACACATACATATGAACATCCACCTTCTTCAGCTTCTCTATGAATTGGCGTATCTCTTCTTCGTCACTATTTAAGACGCTACCCGAGATTAATTGTCTCTTCTCATTGCTGCTTTCTGCGGTATCATCGCAGCTTCTCTTCATACCGTTGCTTTCTACCCCAACGTGTTGGCCAGAAACTACGGATTCCGGTTGCTCCATTCCCTTTGCCCCCTGTCTCTGAGTCAAGAGATTACGTGGTTCTTGCACCTTAAGCAGTGAAAGATAAATTTCAAATACGAGCATCAAGGATAAAAATGATAAAACAATCTCTACCCTAAATTAGATGTCGCTCTTGCACAAACCGAACAAAAAAGACTACCCAATAGAATTATCCAAGACAGGTTTGATTTTAAAAAATGGAAGATAATCGTAATTGGGTTCTTCAGTACCTTGGGATGATTCATGAATTCAATGAGATGAATGTGTTTACTTGTAATAGGCAAATTTAATGGATGCTGGTGATCAGTCTCTGTTGGAACGCTCCGAATTTCTTGGGGTGGCAGCAGTCCGCAAATTTGCTAAGATTTCGCATCATTCTGCTGATTATGTTTGTCAATTCTTCCCAACTGGACCAACTACAGACCCAATTAGGACTAACTTTTTTACTATTGATTGATTGTTTTTGCAACTTTTGTTTATCTACTAACCAAATACAGAGCGTCAGAGTATACGTTACATTCTACACTAATCAATTTATTTGTGAAAGTCTAGATCTCTAGTGGAATGCTATTACTCCGTATCATTTTCTCATTGATCACATAAAAAAAGTTAAAAGAAAAAAGATGAAATCGATGTTCACTTCAAATGTAAAGAGCAAAGCTCACAATCAAAGGAAAGAACTTTGCATGTTGGCCCCTAGGGGTGTGCACATTTCGGTAAACCGACCGAATCAAACCGATTCCGAAATTTCGCTACATACCAAATACCGAATCGTAATTTCGGTTCGGTAATCGGTATGTATAATTTTGAAAATTATGAGTATTCGGTTCGGTATTCGGTTTGGTATATATATAAGTATTTTGGTTTTCAGTATGTATCGAATACCGAAATTTATAAAATAATAGATATTAAATATATAATATATTTATGGGAGGTATATCTAAATAGGACTAAATAAAAGGATAATTGTAACAATAGGAGTATAAAGTTTAAATTCCAAAATAGGACTAACTCTTCCTATTTTACCCTTTCCTTTGTCCTTTATAATAGGATTTTTTAAACAATCATTATAAAATATAAAAAATTCAAATTAAAAAAAATAAAAATTGAAAAAAGTATTAAAAAAATATACGGACCTTAACTACCACCTCAGCCACCTTCCAGCACCGCCACCTCCGGTCGCCGGAAAAGATTGCCAAGTTGGGGGAAAATGTCATCATGATAGCAATTTTGAAGAAAAAGCTAGATATTTTCAAAGAGTAAAAATGTCATCTTTATGACATTTTCATATAAACATGGCATTTTTTACACAAGATGGCATTTTTTTTCGGCGACCGGAGCTGGTGGTATTGGGATGTAGAGGATGCATTGGCAGTGACCTACATATTTTTAAAATATTTTTTTAGGTATTTTATTTAATTTTTTACACTTTTTAAAAGTTTTTTAAATATTTTATTAATTTTTATTGATTTTTTTTTAATTTTTTATTTTATTTTTTCACGTTTTCATTATTAACTTATATACTCCCTCCGTTTCTAAAAGAAAGTCACGGTTTGACTTCACAGTTATTAAGGAAATAAATTGACTTTACTGTAGAAAACACTGTTTAGACACTGTTTGGCACTGTTTGGACACTGTTTGGCACTGTTTGGCACTGTTTGGATGTAGATTTCTTTGCCAAAAAAGGAAATAAGGGAAGTGTGACTTTTATTTTGGCACATCCAAAAAAGGAAAGTGTGAGGTTCTTTTAGAAACGGAGGGAGTATATTTTATTATTCTTTATATTTTTATAAAATTATGGTTTTCTTATTAATAAAATAAATCTATTGCAAATTATAGGAACGGGGTAGAATGGGAAGAAGAGACATATATGCATAACCAAAATTTCAATTTACCAAAATTTCGGTTCGGTTCGCTATTACCGAATGAATACCTCTGGTTGGCCCAAATCTTGGCCCTCGGCCTCGTCAGTCAAGTTATTAAAATTTAAAATAAAATTTGGTTTAAATATGTTTTTTTCCGGGAAGTTTAAATATGTGTTTGTTCCTTGCAAATATAGTATGTACTATGTAGTGCATTTTATTTTGTGTCCATACAAAATAATTTGGTGTTCTTCATTTCTATAATTTATGTTGATTTTCTTTTTGTTGATAACTCATGATACAAGCTTCATTTGATAACAAAACAATCACAACTATTATGTTCCTCTAATTTTTTGTCATGTTATTCAAATACAGAGCAGTATTTAATTGAGAAATTGCTCCCAATAGGAGTATAACATAAGACATTTCCCTAAATAGGAGTTAACTCCTAAAATTCCCCAAATAGAAGTAAACATTAAATATTTACCCCTAATACCCCTATTGTAATTAATTATTGCCCCTCTTAGGGGTTGTTTACTTTTTTTTCATTAAGTCCTGAGTGGATTAAGAGGTCTGTCTACATTAAGTTGTCTGTCTGGATTAAGTGACACTGAGATAACACACTGTTTACTAAGTGTGTTGAATGAGAAATCTGAATCGTGTCAAATGACCAAATAACCCTCCTCTTTGATTTAAGTATAGTACCGACAAAACTATTTTTTTTGCATCAAAATGTTACATAGTACTCCGTATTAAATTAAAGTTGAATGAAGAATCAGAGTAACAATTGGACTTCAATTTAGATAACACATCATGTAAGAAACGGTGTTTCAAATCAAGTGTGATGGACCAACAGAAATGCCAATATATAAATGATGGATATCTTCAACCTTATTCCACATGTACGCCTGTTGAAATTGCCATTATAAGCTCCACCGTTGTTTAAAGGGGGAGGAGGGTCTCTTCGAGGATAAGCTCTAAAATTGGAGGATAAGCTCCATCCCAGATTTTGACGTTCAGGAGATAGCACATCGGTCTTCAGGAAAAATGGTTCAAGGAAAAATCCAGAGGCATACCTGATAGTGGAGCTTTCGATTGCTTTTGCTTCAAGAGAATATGACCGCCGATGGTGCGCCAGATATTGGCTTTGCCTCTGCTTATGAAGATGGGAAGCTCTTTCTGATAGCGAGAGGTTATGTAGGGTTAAAATAGAGAAAGGTTGTTCGTTCCCATGTCTGAATAGGAAGGAGTATTCTTTTTTGGCTGAATGAATGAGTTAAGAATTGTCTGAGCGAATAAGTCATCTTTTTTATTAAGTTGCAAGTAAACACACTTTTATAACTAAATGATTAAGTCAGTCACACCATTAAGTTCATTAAGTCTCAAGTAAACAGCCCCTTAGTTCCCTTGGGCAACAAGGGCAGTCCGTCGGTGGCAGGGCAGGGCGTTGGTAGCGGCGGCAGTCCGATGGTGGCAGTGGCAGACGACGGCTTCCGGCGGTGGAACTCCGGCGACCGACGGAAACATTTATTCTAATTAATTATTGCCCTCCCCTTGGGCAACCAAGGCAGTCTGTTGGTAGCGGGGCAGTCCGGTGGTGGTGGAAAAAGATTCCGGCGGCGGCGGCGAACTCCGACGGCAGCGGCCGGCGACGTTCGATGGCAGTAATGCTGGGAAAATTCCAGGGAAAAAATCTGGAAATTTTTCTGACGATGGTTGTCGGAGCTCCGGCGGCCGGTGGCGGCAGTCTGGCAAAGTCTGGCCGGCGGCGGTACTGTAGCAGCAGGCGGGGTATCCTTGTCCATTTACAAAAAAATACTCCTATTTTGGGAGTTTTAAAACTCTACTCCTATTTTTGCATATAAGTCCTATGTCTTACTCCTATTTTGGTAATTCCCCTTAATTGAGATTTTTTTTGGAAGGTTTTTAATATCTACTTTAAAACTATAAATAATTAGTTTTAGATTGATTTAATTCTCATATTAACCTCAAAAAAATTATACAATAATAAATTTAAAAGCTTCTGGTAGATTTATTCAATCAACGATGCCGTTTTCCTACAACAACATCAACGACATTACCCCAATGCCGCAAGGCTCTCCCACCTATGGTGGTTAAGAGGGATCGAATGTACGCAACCTTACCGTTGCACTAAGGAACACAGAGATTGTTTCCAGATGATCCATGATGGAAATTTCACAGACTGATGTCGTTTCACAACAAAGAAGCACAAAAAGTTTAGCGAGTCATTTTTCTTTATTCCATAATATACTCAAGCCAAAAAATTGTGAATTTTTTGTTCCATTGAAAATGATGGAAAACATCTTTGAATTGTCACACACACCGTCACCATCATTACCTCAGTGCCACAAAGGATCCCACCTACGGTGGAGTAAATCGAGGTTGGATGTACGCCTTCTTACCCCTTGTACTAACGCCTAGAGAGATTGTTTCCGGATAACCCATAGTGAAAATCGCATTGAAAAATGCATGAATGTTTTAGCAAAATTTCGATAAGCTAAAACTAATTAAAAGAAAATTGTATATTGATCGGGTTTTGTACAAGAACGGTAAGGAAAATGACAAGAACAACAAGAAATATGTCAAGTAAGCAAAATAAAACGTAAATTGATGTGTAATTCGAGTGACGAGCCTCCTCTTACAATTGATCTCGAGACCACTTATAAGAATGGTAATCAATTCTTTTTTTGTCTATTATTGACGGTTTCGACTGTTATGACGACATTCAAAGTCGTCATCATGTCGTCATTAATGTCAGTCAACCCTTCTAAGTAACTCCTGCTTTAATTACATTGATAGCTATATTAATATATACAAAACCATTATAATAATTAGTTAGCATTAAACCTAATAAATGTGTCATTTATTGTCGTGGTCAAGCCTCTTGAATGTAGAATAAGTTGTCAAATTATGCACCAACAATTGCCCCCTTTCAAGAAGTTGAGGAGTATAATTCATATGTTGACCTATTAAGAAACAACTTCTCAAAAATTTGAAAGAGTTTACACTTGGGATCTTGGTTCATTGCATCTATTGGCTCGTCAGTGACTTGACGTGTTGATCAACTTGTCTGACGAAATGCTTCCGTCTCAACCATTCTTTTGACAATAAATCTGAAGAGTATACATCTAAATACAAATTATCCAAGTGGTAAATGAAAGGGTAATAAAAAGAGAACATCAACGTCCAGATTAATATAATGACAGACTACGAAAGAAAAAAAACATCGACATCACCTAATTTACTTTAATGCAACGTAATTAATATAACCAGATAGGACACCCGAAGAAACATCAACATCTAGTTTTGAAGGGCATAACCGCATAAAGTGCTGACCGACATTAATGACGAGATTAAACTACATTATTTAGTCATTACGCCATAAAGTGCCAAGAATTAAACCTAATAAACTACACTTCAGTTTATTAGGTTTAAAGTGCAAATATATCATACAACACTTCAGTTATTAAACTACAAGGCCTTTAATTCTTTGTTTCATTGCATTGGGCCAAGAATTCATGAAATTCATCGAATACATCAACCATATTTGGCCGCGCCATAGGATCTTTCTTACAACACTTTGTTCCCAGATGAAACAGGAAGTTCTGCTGTCTGACTACACTGCCGTCATAAGGTCTATATCCCTTTCCTGCTATATAGGCATTCGCTGCCCAATCAGCATAACGTAATGAAGTCTTCATCTCCACACATTTTGCCATTAACAACTCCAATAGAAAAAGCCCAAGTGTGTATACATCTGTCGTGAAACACCACTCTCTTTTGAACTCCATATCTGCAATTCTGCAAACATATTATTACTTCCCAACACTACAATGCACATACATACACACACACAATTCACTGTCCTGAAATATTCATGACAGCTTACACACACGGATAAAATTGAGGACAACATACATACACAGAGACTAAGATGGCAATGGGGGCAGGGACTCGTGGGGAACCGCCCCACGGGGGAAGGATGGCACAGGGCTTCGGGAATGGGTGGGATATATTTACCCCGCTAAAATATGGGGCGGGGATGGGGATTACTATACCCACCCCGTCCCCTCTCCGTACTCGTTATAAATATATACTCAAACATACATATATTAATAATGTATAAACATGTTTAAACATGTACAAACTTATAAGTAGTATATACTACTCCCTCCGTCCCCCTGTTATTGGGACGGAAGGAGTGGTGTGCTTTTAAAAAAAATAGAATTATGTGGTTGATAATGAGTTGATAAAGTGGAAATAAAGTAAGAATAAATTAGAACCATACAAATGTTAACAAATATGATATGAGACAATAATAGGGGGACATCCAAAAATAGAAAAATGGGACAATCATAAGGGGACATAGGGAGTATATAACAAACACATACACATACACATACTTATAGACATGCATACATGTATGTGTAACAATCATGATTAATGAACTAATACTACATAAGTATTATATTAGAATAATAAGTAATGACTAAAAATATTTATCATAAATGATATATGAGTTTTAAAAGTGAGAAACTAAGTAAATAGAACACACACATATGTATAATATATATAATATACGATTAATTGTAGTATAATTGATGAGAAATTTGGAGCGACATACATGATGATGATATGTTTACTTATATTTTTAGTTTTAGGGAAAACTATCAAATAAGACCTTAAACTTACATAAAAAGTGCAAATCACCCTTTATATAGGAGGCTCTGTACGGCCGTCGCCATTAGGGGCGGTTCTTGTTGAAATTTTTTGATGTAATTTTTTGAGCATCTTATTTATTAAGTCTAGTTTACTCATATCAAATTTCAGCTTAAAATTCATATCGGAAAGGCAGTCAAATGAATTTTTGAAGAAAACGGCGCAGTTAAACAACGCAGTATATTTAAGAAAATCATTTGATTGCCTTCCCGGTTGAATTTTTAGCTGAAATTTGGTATGGGTAAATTAGACTTAATGAAAAAGATGGTCAAAAAAATTCATCAAAAAATTCCACCGGGAACCGCAGCAAATGGCGACGGCCGAACAGAGGCTCCTATATAGAGGGTGATTTTCACTTTTTATGTAAGTTCGAGGGCTAATTTGATAGTTTTCCCTTTGTTTTATTATTTTCATAAAACTTATTCAAATTGAAGAATTATGGGATAAGGGTCAGATAGGGGCTCGAACTTGAAAAAAAATGTCAAATAAGGCCATATTTCGGATGCTCTGTCCGGCCGACGCCATTTGGGTCAGTTCCCGGTGGAATTTTTTGATGAATTTTTTTGAGAATCTTATTCATTAAGTCTAGTTTACTCATATCAAATTTGAACTAAAACTTCAATCGGGAAGACATTCAAATGAATTATTGAAGATAACTGTGCAGTTTAAAAGCGCAGTTATCTTCAAGAATTCATTTGAATGTCTCCCCGATTGAATTGTTAGTTCAAATTTGATATGAGTAAACTAGACTCAATGAATAAGATTCTCAAAAAAATTCATCAATTTTTTTTAACGGGACCCGTCCCAAATGGAGTCAGCCGGACACAGCATCCTAAATATGACCTTATTTGACATTTTTTTCCAAGTTCGAGGCCCTATCTGACCCTTATATCAAGAATTATTAATAATTGGCCGTATAATCTTTTATCGAACACGATATTATCTAGTTTAACTTTTTCAGTGCTATATATATTTATTTATCTATAAAATGGACTAAACAAAATACAAAAATAAGATAATTAAAATACATAGGGGCACTCATGGGAAACAACGAGGTGGGGCGGGGATGGGTCGGGTCTGAGAGTGACGGGGGATAGGACGGGGATGGAGGAATCTTTTTAGACATGGGGCGGGGATGGGGGAGTGAACCCCCGCCCCAAACCCGCCCCATTGCCATCCCTAACAGAGTCACAGAGAAAATTGATTATTTAATCCCATACAGCCATACTTCATGCTTTTTTTGTAAATAAAAAGGTGTTGTACATTATGTTTGGGTACATTATTAGTCCACTAAAAAAATTAGTGCACCACAATGAGGATATTTCACCGTATGAACTATTTTAACAACTAATTTTGTGTCAGTGCCAGTTTTTCGTTAAAGTTTTGCCATAAATGGTACGTTTTGTTGAAAATGTTTTTAATGTTGACAAAGTTCATGCTCATAGGACATAATCTGTTATAAAAAATTGCTTAATGTGAATAGAGTAACATAGCTAATATTAGACACAAAGTTAGGGGAGTAAACCAGCATATATTCCACACATGTGTGCACATATATCATTTATCAAATCTGAAATATCTTACAATAAGCTTCCGGGGAAAAATAATTGTACGCTCCTATGCAAATTCTATCCTCATTTGCAACCATCGCAGAACGACCAAACTCGAACAATTTTATGTTGTAATCCTGCATCGGAGAGTAGTTCAAATGAATGCTAAACTTCGTTACACTAGACATATACATGCAGTGCGAGGGCAAAAGGAACCAATCCCACCTCATCAACACTAATGTTGGGCGCAACAAAGGTGCAAAATGTTATTCCTTGTTGGTGAAAGAACTTTAGGGTTTCAACAACTTGCTTTGCCACCTTCATCCGAGCGCTCCAAGAGAAGGTATCTATGAATGGGAACATGAAAAAGTAAATAATAAAATCATGACATCAACCAAAATATACAACTACTCATGTGTGGGGGCCACGTACCAAGAGGAATGAGATCCCATAGAGTATGTTTTAGGTTCACATCATAAACAAGAGCAAATGTCTTGTCGCATGAGAACCCGATCAACTTCGCCATATTGTGATGTGACGAGACAAGCGGGTTGAGCATAAATTCAAGGAGCCACTGCAACGCCGCAAATAGCAAACCACACAATCCATTTACATCAACTCCAAATTGTATGTTAATAAATATGTTAACAGAGTCACAATTTATAAGATCACTTACAGCAAAATAAGTTGGATTTGCCTGAATCCAGCGATTAATCGGAAAGTAGAAATTCCATTTTTTAACAATGACCTCCTGAGGGCCTGACCATTCATCAATCTTTCCTCTGTATAGTCGGGCAAATAAGACGTCTTTTACATAGCTTTCCTCTGAAAAACCGCCAATGATATCAATCACCTTATCATAGCTGAAATGCTTCACACTTCCCAAGTCTATCCCCTCAATTGGATTCCTAATGCAAGAAGACGCACAAAGAATAAGGTGCAAATAATAATCAACATACAAAAGAAATAGAGTACAATCTTTGAGTAATTAAAATGAGAATCACCCCATTTTCTCAGTCTTGTCAAATCTGCTCTGTAATGAGCGTGTCATCGAATCATGTACTGAGGGGCACTTGAACTTCTCCCTCCGGAACACATACATATAAGCATCCACCTTCTTCAGCTTCTCTATGAATTGGCGTATCTCTTCTTCGTCACTATTTAAGACGCTACCTGAGATTAATTGTCTCTTCTCACTGTTGCTTTCTGCAGTAACATCGCAGCTTCTCTTCTTACTGTTGCTTTCAACCCCAACTTGATGGCCAGAAACTTCGGATTCCGATTGCTCCATTCCCTTTGTCCCCTATCTATGAGCAGCCACTTAAATAAGTGAAAGATATGAGTTGAAGATGAGCATCCAGGGCTGTAAACGATGCAAACAACCTCTACTAAGTACTAACAAATAGATCAGAAATCAGAAATCTCAAATTAGAGAAATGAAGAAATAGTAGAACAAACCAGATTTTCGGATGTGAGAGGGAGACGGCTGAACGAATTTCGGATCTGGACAATGTAGCGTTACAAATTTGTAGTACGGACGACAAATTAGGAGAAAAAAGAGCCCGCGGCAAGGGAGGGACTCTATCCACGCACAGGCAAGGAAAAACATCAGCAAAGCCCAAATTCATTGAAAGAGGAGAGTCCGGCGCCCTGAACACTTTCTGCTGCTGCGATATCGATATCTTTTTAAAAACCAGTGCAAGGAAGGGGCTCTTTAATTAAACAAAAAAAAACAGCTCCAAATTGGCGAAAGAGAAGAACGAAAAAAGGGGAACTGAAAGAGAGTGCAGCCAGGGTCTAAATTCACGGAACCAGATTTGCTGAACAAAACGAAAGGGAAAAGAAAGAGAAGAGTACTCAGAAGGGAAGGATGGAAAGAAACGTCTCCCATTTTTTTCCACAAAAACACATAGCAATCAGATAAGGAGAAACAGGGGGATGGCCAAATTAACCATTATGGCAGGGATAAAAGTGTAAATAAGACATTAACCTCTTTTTAGTTGCAAATAACATTAAGAGGCCATTTCGAAACATTGTTTTACGGCTTATCAGGCTTATCAGTCAGTTTTTTCACCAAACACACAACTTTTGTTTTCGCGCGCTGAGTTGTGTATTAAACAGAAAAAGTAAGGTTGAAGTTACTTTTCTGGTTGTATTGGTTGAAGTTACTGTAGATGACCATTTTAGCTATTTCTAGATATAATTTTTCTTTATTTTTATTAATAAAATATATTTTAAAAATCATTTTTTCTTAAATCAGTAGAATCAGCCAATGCAGCCACTTCAGCCAGAACTTCATAAATTTCAACAGAATCAACCAAAACAGCCGATTTTGGTGCTACCAAACGGGCTTTTAAAGAACACACGAAATTTGGTAACCCAGTTCGCCACGAATGACTACGTCTGGGGGCGCTACCAAGTCAGAAATATTATTGCTATTTTCAGATTCAAGGGATTACAAGGGAGAGATGTTTTATTTATAGAGAGTAAAACATAACCCCTAATTAAAGTAAGACGCGTGTTTAAAAAAAAATAGTAAACCGTACGACCCAATCTGTACGGAACTGTACGGACTGTACGGAAAACTTGGTCATCTAAAACGGACCAAAACTTTCGGTTATACAGTCTCTAACACCTTACAATCTCCCACCTTGAGACTGTCTTATTCAAATCATCCCTTGTTAGCATTGGTAGCGTCGGCCTTCATCTTCAAGTACGTAGGCTAATTGAAGCTATGCAAGGCTTCAATTTCTCCAAAGTTACCACCTTAGTAAACATGTTTGTTGGATTCTCACTCCCACGGATCTTCACAAGCTGCAATGTCTCTATCTCCAGAAGATGACAGATGTAGTGATACTTCAACCAAATGTGTTTGGTTCTCTTGTGAAAAGCTGAGTTGTTGGCCAAGAAGATAGCACTTTGACTGTCAATGTAAAGAATGTTATTCTTGTACTCCTTCCCAAGTTCCCCAAGTAGATTCTGAAGCCACACTATCTCCTTACTTGCCTCTGTAATGGCCACATATTCAGCTTCAATGGTAGGTAATGCAACAATCTTCTGCAGCTGCGAAAGCCAGGAAACTGCTGTTCCACCAAATGTAAAAATATACCTAGTGGTGCTCCTCGATCCATCCGAGTCATTTGATGCCAGGTCTGCATCAACATGTCACAGCACCTCTACATTCTTTCCATCAAAACACAAAGCATTAGAAGCAGTACCTTTCAAATACCTCATGATCCACTTCACAGCTTCCTAGTGTTCTTTCCAGGGATCTCCCATGTCTCTGCTCACTACTCCCACCGCATGTGTAATGTCTGGCCTCGTGCACACCATAGCGTACATAATGTTGCCAATTGTCGAGGCGTATGGGACATTTTGCATTTGAGCACGCTCCTCCTTGTTCTTCAGCGAGTCTTCCTTGCTAAGCTTGAAGTGACTACCCAGTGGTACACTTGCTGCCTTTGCATCTTGCATTCTGAATCTTTCCAGAACCTTCTGAATGTATTCTGCCTGTGAAAGATACAATCTGCCCGCTGCCTCATCCCTCTCGATTCGCATGCCCAAAATCTGATTTGCCTCTCCAAGATCCTTTATGGAAAAACGTTCTGACAACTGTTTCTTCAGCTTCTCAATCTCCTTTGAACTAGCTCCTGCAATCAACATATCATCAACATATAATAGCAAGATAAGATAAAAGTTCTCGGTCTTCTTGTAGTAGCAGCAATTGTCGGTGTGGCATCTCAAGAAATTTATGTCCCTCATGAAACTATCAAATTTCTTATACCACTGCTTCGGTGTCTGCTTCAACCCGTATAAGCTCTTCACTAGCTTACATACGATATTCTCACTGCCCTCTGCCACATAGCCCTCCGGTTGCACCATGTAAATCTCATCATTCAGATCACCATGAAGGAATGCAGTCTTCACATCCATCTGATGTAACAACAAATTCTCTGCAGCAACAAACCCTAACACCAACCGAATAGTAGTTAGTTTCACAAGTGGAGGGAATATGTCAGTATAATCAATACCATAACGCTGCTCGAATCCCTTCACAACCAGCCTAGCTTTGTAGGGTTTGCTACCATCTGTCTCCTTCTTGATGCGGTAGACCCACTTGCAGTGCAAAGCTTTCTTCCCCCCTGGTAGCTCAACTAACCTTCAAGTATCATTGGATGTGAGAGATGTCATCTCATCATCAATTGCAAGTTTCCACTTGCCCTTGTCATCAACCCGAACTGCCTCTGCATAGGACTCCGGTTCACCACCATCAGTAACCAACAAATAGAAATTAGAAGACGAATACCTATTAGGGTTGATGGATTTTCATCACTGCTCAACTCTTCATTCTGATCCCGATTGCTCCACCCGAATTAGTTGGATCGACGAATAGAGCTTGGTTATACAGTCTCTAACACCTTACACCAAGTACTAAATTAGTTATTTATTTTTACAAATTTTTGGTTTTTCTAAATTGACTTGTTTGTGATATTACCTTATTTATAAATATATAGGTATTGTCATAACGAGTAAGTTGAGTCGGGCTGCGCAAATTTCATGAAGTTTTTCATTTTGACATTCATATTATATGGTACAATTTGAATATGCCTTTTCATATGGATTTTTTATTTAATTTATCTCATTTTCAATATGATTTGTACATCGTAAAAAAAATCTCTATGGCCTCCAAACTGCTGAAGACGCCTCTGGCGGTTCGGAACGGTCTGGTAAACTAGTAAAACCCGTAATGTATCCCTTAAGTAGTTAAGTTTTTGACGGTCCGGCATGGTCCGGTTTCACGGATGGAACCGTTCGGCACCATGCCAAGAAAAAAAAGTTTCGGAACGGTACAAAACGGTACGGTACAATGCCAAGCACATGCTAAAAAAATTTGAACAAATCTTGCAATTAGTAGATATCTTCACACCAACCAACTCACATGAAATGTTGATATAAATACAAGAAATGGCATATGTAGTAAAGTTCATAAATACACAAATAGTGCAACAAAACTAAGAAAAAGCATAGCAAAATGATGACGCACGAGATAAATATCTTTTTTAATTTACTAAGTTCATGTGAAAATATAAAAAAGAATATCATCAAATTGTTGAATACTCCGTATAATAAAAATCTTCAATGTTCTTCTTCTTCGTTCTAGGTTAAATATTTCTCCGTAGTTCTAATTTAATTTATAGTTGAAACTTGAGAGCTAAAATTTAAACCATATTAATTAAGTTGTAAAATTGTGCAAACATGATACTACAAAAAGTCATGTACTCTACATTACTATAGAAATGAATAGTCCTTAATGATTTCTAAAATTTTAATATTCTTTCAATGCATATCAAAATATAACATAAATCATCTAAAAAGAAAAAATAACAATATATATAATATAATCACACACTTTTAGCTAGTTTAGAAACGCATGAATACATACTTGGGCTATAAAATTGTTTGTCTATAAAAAAGAGATATATTGGTATAGAAAAATTATAAAATATTTAAATGCATTATTTTCAAACGGTTCGGTTCGGTATTTTTCGGTTCTCAAAATCTAGAATCGGTCCCGTACCCGTTTCAAACGGTTCGGTTTCGGTACGGGACAAAATTCTATAGAACCGTTTAAATACCTGGTATTCGGTTCGGTACCATTATGGGACGGCTCGATACCAGTTCGGTTCGGGTTTTATGCCCATTCCTAGAAAAACTATTCAAAATGACTTTCGAATTGCGGTTGACAACAAACTAATCAAAATTCGTTCTCTAACACGATGATAAGACGTTCAATTTTTGGTCTAAGTAAATAGCAATCAACTATTGCTTATTGCATAGTTTTTTCGCAATTCAAAATAGATCGCAATATAGAGCCCGTTTGGTAGCACGAAAATCGGCTGTTTTGGTTGATTCTACAGAAATTTCTGAAGTTCTGGCTGAAGTGGCTCATTGGCTGATTCTGCTGATTTAAGAAACAATTATTTTTATAATATATGTTATTAATAAAATAAAGAAAAAATTATATGGAAAAATAGCTAAAATGATCATCTATAGTAACTTTAGCCAAAACAACCAGAAAAGTAACTCCAACCTTACGTTTTCTGCTTATTACACAACTCAGCGCGCGAAAGTAAAAGTTACGTGTTCGGTGAAAAAGTTGGCTGATAAGCCTAATAAGCCGAAAAACAGTGCTGCCAAACGGCCTCATAGTGATGTAAGTACGAGTATCATCTCCACAGAGACGGACAAAGGGGAATCAAGAATTAACTAAATTCAGTGATTAAAAAATAAATAAAATAAATGCGTCGTGCAAGATATGATTGGTATGAAAATTAAATGCCGATGAACGAATAAAAAGAAAGAATTTCTTCTCAATTAATGACGAAGGGAACATGGATGGATTCCGGAGTGACCAGATTTCTGACAGATCAGGCTTAATTACATGTACATGAAATTGATTTAATTGAGCCTAGCTAAATAATACTAAGTTCTTACCGCTCTTGCGACGTAGAATACAATAATTTAGGGGACCAGGCTGATCTCTCCAAACAACACAAAACTCGAACCAACGCTCTGTAAACATAACTTAAGCTAGATTTGAGACTTGTGAAACCTTAAAGCTAGGAAAACCATCAAAAGCCGATCCCAACACACATCAAATGCGTGTTGTAATACGAACTTACTCGTCCCGATTTCTTCTCAAGCGCTGGTGCCGGACTCTAATTTTCTGATTTTGACTCCAAGCAACACAAAACTCGAACCAACGCCCGGTAAACATAACTTAAGCTAAAATTGAGACTTGTGACATCTTAAAGCTAGGAAAACCATCAAAAGCCGATCCCAACATGCATCAAATGCATGTTGTAATACGAACTTATCACAATCAACTATGTTTGATCATATTTCAGTGTTCGACTTTTGTCCGTCCTAATTTT